TTTTGCTGAGATGTGTATGTGTGATTGTGACATGACGAGCAACTTTTCTGCATGATGAAAAAAAAAAAGAAAAGAAAAAAAAAAAAAAACAAGTACCTCCCAATGGATGCTCATGTCTAAGGGCCTACCACACAATTCGGCAAAATTTTCAATGCACCAAGGACATCGCATGTGTCCAGATGCATTCCATATCTGGGCGGATGGCGAGTGGTGCAATTAGGCACTAATAACACCCCAGACGAGTCGTTGTCTCGTCCTTTCCAGTGCATTTCTCGTACCCTGTCCCTCAACGGGCTCAACTTTCGGGCGACGGCCTTGGGATATCTTTTGTCCAGATTCGACAGGTAAACTTGCAGTCAGATAGATGCTTTCTTTTTTTTTCTTTTTTTTTTGGAGTATTTCTCGATTAATGCGTGTCAGATGCATTTTGAAAAGTGCTACGGTAGTGTGAGCATATGTCCTGACAAACCTCTGGATGTGATTGCAGGTCAGATTCGTCCAGGAATGGCCGTAATTGCGGCCAGATGCATTCTGGAAAATGCTAGTGCGAGTATGCCCTGACGATTCCGAGCCTCCAGGTTCGAAGTACAGCAATTCTGACATCTCCTGTTTGCCGGGCACAAAGTGCCGACCAATTGAATTACCTGTCGAATCTGGACAGGACGGACTTTCAGGCCTGTTATTTATTTTTATTTTTTTCTTTTTATTTTTCTTTTCTTTTCTTTTTTTTTGGCCTTTTTCTATTGTCATTATAGTATTACGGGGAGCCCCGTAGCAGCCACGTTAGCAGCCACATCCGTGCTCAAGCCTCCAACGAGAGAACCCATGCGGGAGCTGCACCCACCAGCAGGTGCTATACCTGCTACAGCAGGTGGGCGGTATCGGGGCAAGGTCCCACTTGCAGGGATTAAGAGATTCTGGCCGTTGATCTTTGCTATCTACGGTCAATATAGCTTACTTCGTGTAAGCGGCACCTAGCCCCCGGCCAGTGGTCAGCCGGTAGCATCAGGACCGAGCTTCTTCCATGGGCCAGTCACTGCGCCTCCCCTCCGCTCCCCTCCTCCTATGAACATCAGCAGTCTTTGCTCAATGCCACTCGGGCTCCGGGGGACCAACGGCATATCTCCAGGTGGCGGGCGCCAAGCTTTCATTGATCGGACGGGCCCTAAGGTAATTCAGAATGATTTATACTATTCATGAAAGTGATTTATACTACTATTCATCAAGGTCCATTAGGATTTGAACTCCCGTATCTGGCCCAGTTGGTACACACATGAACAGTTGAAATGCAGACCCGGGCCAAGGCTCCGTCTATTGGTGGGGGGAGCTGCACCTGCTGGAAACTGGGGGCCAGCTCCCACTAGCATGGATAAAGAGATATAGGCCGTCGATCTCCGTTATCTACCGCCAGTATCTCTTAATCTGTGCAAAGTGGGACCTTGCCTTGCATCCAGCCTTCAGCCTTCGCCCGAGGGGGCTGCATTTTTTTTATTTTTATTTTTTTCCTTTCCTTTTTTTTTTTCAAAGCCCTTGTGACATCCCTCTATGGGCCTCCTTCCACACCACTAAAAAAGTAAGGATCCTTACAAAATCATCGTTCCACCACTCCCTAATGACAGCAACATCGAACCGTAAGCCTGTTTTCACATTCTCGGCTTTTAGGGTGCGCCCTTACAAAGTAAGGTCGCCCCAGGCAAAACGTCGAAAATCTCTAGGGAGCCTCGGGAGGAGACTAGAAAAGTAAGGGTGCGAGTCCGCGAAGCGCATTTTTCACGGAGAATGTTTTTTCAGTTTAGTTTTCCCTCCGAAGCAGCTGTGTTCCTAGTCCACTACATTCGTGTCCGGCCCTTCGGCTGGGACAGTGGCACCGCTGTCGAGCGCGTTGGTCCGGCACCGCACCAGGGCAGCGCGGGACCCTCCCAACCGCGTCACGCAGGAGTTGGTTTAAATCCTTCGTCGCAATATACATGGAGCTTCCACAAGCCGCTCCGGCCGAGTGCGCCAGCCATACCTCTCGCGAGCCCCTACGACAGGATAGGGCCTACGCGAGGCACAACTTACCTCCACCTTACGGGAGTTGTCACCTCCCTTCGGTGGGCGTATCCCCGCCGAGCTACCAGTCCACAGTACAAAAGCTAATCAGTTGCAATCGCAGAGGTGGACCAAGCCGTGGGTGTTTCTCGTTCGCTGTAGCATAGGGGGTACGGGCGGTAATACGCCTATCAGACCCGCACTTGAACCGACATCTTGGGGGGCTGAAGTCCCAAGCGCGGCTCGACGTCGATCGACTAGGACGCATCCCACACACCACGCGCACACCGCTTTACGAACACAAAAATAAAACACATGCACACATACCAAACAACACGACAACACTCCTAGTCCCTATAGCCATCCCATAACTTTCCGATGCGGAAATCGGATAGGCGTCGTGCGCGGGACTTAGTATAAAATCGCGCGGACACAGGGCTAACTCATGTCGACTCCCAATGCAAGCGTAAGCAAGCAGTCATAATGATGGCGTACTATGTGGTGTCCATAATCAAGCGGTCCCTCGTGGATCCGAGTACCGCTTATGACACTCAAGTGTCAAACTCGAAGTGTTGTGAGGGTCTAATCCCTCACGACATTGCACGGCTGAAGGAATAGTCGTGCCGCCGCCGCGAGACCTCCAGCCTTTAGTCTGAGCGTCTCGGTAGGCAAGGCAGATAGGCTCTGCACGGGGGCAGATTCCTTCCCTGCAGAGTCTAAGGCTTGGGATGTCTTGGACAAGGACCTTGAATCCCGGCCGAGGACCAACGTCCGACTATAAAAGTCTCTAAAAAGCAAAGGATAAAAAGAAATCTCCCTTTTTTCTCAAACCCATAGTCTGTTTAACCCCTTACGCGCGGTCCCAGTAGGCCGCACAAAACACTCGAGACATATATATATACATATATAGAGAGGGTTGTTAATATAGGACAATCACTTCTCACAGTCACAGTGGGACTCCTCTCAACCATATATGTATGTAATCACAGGCAATCACGTCCAGAGTCCGAACCACAAACGCATCTGCAATCACATCAAAGATTCATCCAGAAGTCCATGCACTACACGGGGTCAACTTCAATCATTCCTTGCACTCATACCCCTCGCTTTAGCCATACAAGCCTCACTCGTGCAACTCTTAAATAAATATTCAGTACTTTTGTTGAATGACCATTCAATGAAGTCCGGGTGAAAACACAACAAAATAGTTCAATCACAAGGCTAAAGCCTTTAGGTTGAGTGGCAGGAGTGAATTGGAGTTGAATCGTAAACCGACGAAATCGACAACCGACCTGTTATCAGTGATAACAAAATGTGATCCTTGTAGGATCAAGCTGAATCTAGTCCTGAATTTGAATTAAACGATCAAGAGGACCTGTAACACATGGTAGGTCAATGCCCCCGGCTAAACCTATAAGTCAATGGAGAACAATGTCCATATCATGATATTACCAAAATCGTCCTAGTTAACTATATCTAAGTCTACCTCTAAGCAAGTACCCAAAGAAAGGTAGACTCATGGAAAAATCTCCCCTATTCAGAGTGGATTATCAGAATCACCACCTGTCAAAATATAATCGATCTCCTTTAAACTGAGAAAATTTCGGCAGCGCTTCCCGTAGAAAAAATGCCTTTCCATAATTTATATAAGTCCAAATATGAAAGCAGAAATAATTTTCAACTCTGGAAAGTCAAATTTTGTCTAACTCCCTGAATTAGTAAAAATTTGGGCAGCACTCTCTTTAAGAAGGGAGACTTCCCAGATTTACACTAAGTCAGATATGAACTCAAAAAACAATTTGAGTCCAACTTAGACAAGATTTAACAAACTCCTTAGTTTTGCAGAAATTTCGGCAGCACTCCCTTTAGAAAAATGTTATTCCAAAATTTATACAAAGCTAAGTCTAGAACTTGAGAATGACTTTGACTTCTCAAAATCCAATTTTGTCCAACTCCCTGAATTAACAAAAATTTGGGCAACACTCCCTTTAGAAAAGGAGACTTTCCAGATTTTTACTAGGTCAGATATAAAGAAAAGACAAGTTGAACTTTGACAAGTCAACAATTGACTAACACCTTGGATTTGTAAAAATTTCGGCAGCGCTTCCCGTAGAGAAAGTAGCTTGCCAAGATTTATACAAAGCCAAGTACAAAAAAATGATCCCAGAAAATGCGAGAATTGATCTAAGTAAAAAAACTTAGCTCAGAAAATGCAGGAATTGAAACTAACTCATATAGCTTTAGCACGTGGCGAGCGACTAAAGCAACTACCTATCAAACTGAAACTCAGACCAAGTAGTAACCTCACTCAGCTACATGCAGGCCAAACCACAAAACGGTAAGTACTATCACCATCCCAAGTTTATCTAGACAATAATAGTTCATGATTGTTCAAGGATTTAACCCTTTATACCCTAGCTTACATAAGGCATAAGGTCAGACCACCCAAACTTATGGAATGTGTCTAACTTAGCCATTGAATATACACAAAACAGAGGGCACAACTACTTCTCTCTTTTTTGGGCATATGACTAGACCATTTTATTCGCCCTGAACTGTTTAAAGTATACAAGTTATATATTTGTCTTCCCTATTGTCTTCTAAGGCTGCATATGACTTAGCTAACTTAAGTCTGCCCCTGCTTACCATCAATTTTATTCTTAGTTATACTTTCTTCAAGTTGTAATAGGCTATAGTTAGACCACCTAAACTTATAGAACAGTCTGATTATCTCGTTCTTAAATAAAATAGTAATAAAGTATAGCCAAGTTATAATCATTGGGTTCTAGCATGTGCGAGGCTTTGAGCCAGACCCCCTGAACTTACAGAAGGATCTAACTCTCTGCCAATTTTCATTTCTCTCTGAATCATCACGTGTGTGGCATCGAACCAGACCCCCTGAACTTACAGAAGGGTCTGCCATTTGCCAAGATTACTTCTTCTGAATAAAAAGCAGGAAGAGGCTGAGCCACCTAAACTTATAGAACAGCTCAGACCTCCTCGTTCAGAAACCAAAGAAACAGATAAAACCCCAATGAAAACAAGGCAACCCAAGACACCAAAACTTAATGAATGTCCCGAGTCTCTGAAAATCAGACACAATCAGACCCTTCACAAGTGAGAGCAGTCATGCCACCTAAACTTATAGAACAGCCTGACCATCCATGCAAAACCATAGCACTGGGTCTCCCCAAACTTATGGGGACATCCCAGCCTCCAGAGCAATCAAACCCCCTAAACTTATAGAAGGGTCTGTTGCTCCATGCAAACCAGAATAAACAAGGTACTGGGTCTCCCCAAACTTATGGGGACCTCCCAGCCTTAAGGACCCAGTCAACCTTCAAACAAAACAACCCTCCATCCTGCCCTTCCCCAGATGCAGTTCTTTTCAGCAATCTGAATTCACACAATCAATAAAGTTGAAACTGAACTTGAACATACACTCCTTTACTTAATCTTGTTCAGTGTCCTGAACGCCAAGCCAAAAATAAAATAGGGTTGCACATCATATATTCAGTCAGAGATGCAATGAGAGATACAGATAGGGGTTATAATTGGGTTTATAGAGGGGAAGGTAACGGTTACCTGTCAGTTCCCTGCCTCCAGAACTCCTCCTGAGTTCCGGCAGGGCTCCCGCAATCAGTGGGGCAACCTCCCGCAGAGGCCTTGGTGCGGATTACGGGTTGCAATCCCGCCTGCCGCCTTCCTCTCAGAACCAGTGGACTAGACCTAGAGTAAGAAGGACAGAGGGAGAAAGACTTTAGACTCTCAGATCCAAGAGGGGTGCCCTCAGACTCGCAGGAGAGGCTCTTCAAATCTTTGACGCCGGAGGGCCCCGCAATGGCGGCCAACCAACTTAACAGATTGGTCAAGACTGGGGTTAACCCGCCGAAGTCAAACTTCCTAACAGTCTCCCGAACTGCAGCAATGACCTCATACACAATCCAACCGTTCCCTCCTCGCCACTCCTTTGCTTTCCTTGACGAGCCTGCAGTCTCACTGCTCTAAAACAGCCCTGCCCAGAACAGCGTAGCGGCCCGGACCGAGTTCAATATCGGTTGTGACAAGGATAGAACCGACGCAGGTAGCCGATTACACGGTGGGCGGATTAGCCACAGATGCTGCCTTAGCTAAGGTACACGGTGTTCAACAGCAGCACGCAGTGACCACCACTTCTGCAAGCTCAACCTCTCCTCCAAACTGCGACGCGGTCGCAGGGTACTGTGCCCCAGTCAACAGGCAACCGGTAAACCCGTTCGCCCCCTCAACCGGCAGGGCCGAGTATTCGCCAGACGGCCGGCCCAACTCTCAACTCCGCAGTTCAGTCCACAACTTCCCCGCTCATCAGGATGGATATCACGGCAGCCCTCAAACAGGTCGCCTTCCCACGTACTCCCCGTAGTCGTCGTACAACTCGATCGTTACTCCATATCTTTCCCCTAACAAACCTGCCCAACTCCTCGTCCACGTGAACTCGCTATTATGGCCAGTCCCATCGGTCAGCCACTGTGCGAGTGGGTCCCCGGACAACACATGCCGGGTGGGTGTCCTAATCTCGTGGTAACCCTTTTTCGCTAGCCTTCACCACTAGCACGAGCAGAGCCGAAATGCATTATGCGCAAGATCTCGGAAAGGTACGTCGTCCCGTGTAAAGGTGAGTATTTCCTCCCCGCGCAACCTATGTTTCTCATAGCGCCAAACCTGTACTTTCGTCGAGGAGTATGATCATATCACCAGGCTCGTGGTATCAAAGAACCCCGGATTAGTATCTCCTCCCACTCGGTTTCATTGAGAAACGAGTGAAAACTTCATCCCACGCTCCTCTCCTTCGTCCATTCACCGTATCCCGACACAACCCCTACCTTTACTAACTCTTCTTTTACTAACTATTTTTATGATCCGACCTCATACTCAAGGTCGCCCGCCCTGAAAATGCCAGTCTCGACCCTCCACTGTTCTCGTTAGGAAACAGGCAAGGTCTGTATTCCTCCTCTTCCCTCTCTTCGGCACTCCGCCATAGCCACCGCGCAGAGCCTTTCTCTTCTACTACCAAAACTAACACTCTATAGCTAAAATTAACTCTCCCGCTCAACTCGCAGCACCCCGAAACTCTAGTTCAGCCCTTCACTCTGCTCGATTTTGCCTAGGATCGAGCAAATTAGTGGTTTCCCGCTCCCACCATACCCCTCCTTCACTGCATGCACCCGACGCATCTTCCCGCCCGGGTTCATTCCCCGCTTTTGCCTCACTGTGCTGGCGCCCGACACTCCGCTCCTACCTGCTGCACAGCGCCGCCTGGTCGGCCTTACCCCCCGTCACTCACCGTGCCACAGTGCCAACGTCCGCACCTAGCGCTGCCTCCTACCCTGGTGCATCCTCCTTTGTTCAGCGCCTTCCCTCCCCCTGTTGACGTCCCAACCGCGCAGCCCGACGGGCTACCGAATGCTAAGCAGAAAGCATTCGGTCGTCGACCGTCCTCCTCTTATACAGGCCATCCCTTGCGCAGGGACCGTGCTAATCTTCTCTGTGGCGTCCCAGTTTTAACAGATGTCCCGAAGGACTCGACCGGGGCAATGCCCCGCGGCTCCCCCAAAGGCCACACGGCCTTTACCTTGGCCCACTGGTGGGGGGCAGATACCGCCCTGTTCATTCTGCGTACGAACCCGGCCTGGTCCACGTCCAGGTTCAATCCCGGATTTGCATACATCCCCGGACAGCGGCCGGGGTAGCGCCCTGCTGCACTTCAAGGCCTGCGCGAGCTCAGACTCCGGGCGGACCCACACTCCAATCGCTTATGACCACCCTTGCCGGCCAAGCTCATACTCCCGCGGTCCGGGCACGAAACCAGTGTCGGCGCCTTGATGGAATCTAGCTTAGACATGCATATAAAAAATGTATAAACATAATATTATAACATTAATAAAACAAAAGCGGGGGAAGCTATCGAGACGGCGCACGGGGCTTACCACGCTCCCTTAGTACTACGGGCGGGCCCGCAAATCGGGTGTCTCTCCCAAACAAAAGGGGATAGCACCGCCGAACCCTCATCCCCTTCCTGCTGCTTCGCTGCTCCCGCGCCGTCCTACGTCGCCCCACCTACCGCACAAGGTCGCACCGTCGCTGTTGATGTCGTCGTCCTCCATACGTATGCACAGGTCACGGGCGAGCACACCAGTCAACGAGACATAATCTTTTTAATCCTTATTTTAAAAAAAATCTGGCCGGCAGTCACGCCGACTCTTCAATCATCAACAAATAAAAAGATCACGCGCGCCTCAAAGATTCGCGCGCCCACACACACTCTATCCTAGCCAACCATCCAGTCAACGTAGACCACAAACGCAGCCGCGCCTGGCGCGGTATACTTAAGCTTTAAACCAAGACTATTTTATGTCGCTTGCAAAAACCAGGGCGGATACCCTTGTAAGGGTATTCGCGCCGACACCTCCAACACCTGGTACCGCGGTTTTCGAGTGCCGTTGTGGCCGTTGGGCGGGGGAGTGCATTGTTCTGGGAGTGGCGGGGGCCGCATGGCCGTTGGCGGTGGTTCGAATTCGAAATATGCACATGGCAGCGCCCGTCCTTGCCAACGGCCACAATGATGGAAGTTGCTTCGCGGCGCAAGCAGGACACAAAGCTTCGTTACATGGCGGTGCATCCACTACAAATGGCTGGGTGTGTAGCCGAAGTCAGACACGTTGTCGTTTTGAACACTGTCGACGATTGTGCTGGTCTTCAACTATCCTCGCGTGTGCGCATGGCAGACCTCATCAGGAAGATTGTGTTGTTCGCATTCGTCCTAGTTGCTTTGTTCATCGTCATCCTGCTGCAATTGTGGCAGTTGTTGAGGCACAGCAGGGCTCCTCCGCGAAAGAAGGCAACGAAGAAGGAGGGCAGAGGCGAGGGCGAGGAAGGTGATGGGTGACGGCAGTCTTCCTGAGGGGCAGATGTACGGGATCGGGCCGGGGGTGCACACCGGGCTTCCTCGCGCAACGCGTCACCAAATCGATCATGCGTTATACGTCCATCTGCCTTCTTACATGCAGCCTTTGCCGGATGATGAGGGATGGGTGCCACCCCCTTCAACCCTTCCTCTCGCGTGGGGGTCGACACAAACCTCTTACGAAATCGCCCCTCGTTCGGATGGTCGTGGCGTTGGGATGGGTCCGATGTCCTCCCTCATGGCGGATCTGACGAGTGGTCGCCCGGATCCTCTGCAATTGCATTTGTCGCCGACGTGCACAATGGATGCCTCGACAACTGTTCTCGTTGAGCATAGCACTCATTCGCAAGGTGGGGTGTCCGTCACAATGCACAACGCGCGCGAAGTCGGGCAAGCGACAGAGCGGCCGCCGATGTCATCGTACGGGTGCGGGGGCAGTCGTGGCGTGCTGCCGTCATCCTCAGCTGCGGTGCGCTCACCTCTTCCTCGCAGCGGTCCTGCAGGAAGGGTAACGACAGCGACTGCGGCGGAGTCCCCCCAGGTGATAGAGAGGATCATAGCGCGGTACTCAAGAATGCGTACCGACGTTCAAGTTGCTGACGGAGGTGATGAGGACGCAGAAGAGGAGGATGTACCTGAGGAGGACTTAATGGACGACGAGGACGAAAGTGAGGAGGATGATGACGCTGCGGTGAAGGAGGTCACACAAAAGACCGCGAAGACGAGGACGACGAAGAGTCGTCGAAAGTCCAAGGCGAGAGATGGAGGCCCCGGTGATGGCGAGGAGGGGGGGGGAAGAAAGGCGAAGAACTGGGGTTTGGACGATTCGCTCGTCCTGGTCCGCTGCAAAAGGGACTAGGACGATTACATGGCAGGCCAGGGGAACAACTTTGCGCGAATGAAGACGGAGACTTGGAAATGGAACGACATAGCAAAGCGAATGGCCCAGCAAGGGGTTACGAATAAAGATGGAGAGTCGTGCATGAAAAGGTGGGAGAACATCTTCGGGTGGTACAGGAAAGTATGGGACAGGGAGAAAGATTCTGGCCTGCAGTCTTTTTTCCTCTTGACAGCAAAGAAACGGAAAGAGCTGGGGTATAAGTTCGCGATGGATCGACAACTGTACGACGCTATTCACGCGCCGCCGCCGAACAATCAGGCCATACACCCACCTAATCTGCATGACACCGGTGGACTGCCTCCCCAACATTCGAATGACGGAGAGGAGAGCCAAGCAAGAGGTCCGACAGCAGCCGGGGAAACTTCCACGAGCGATAATATGGAGAGGGAAACGGGGGATGGGTATGGCAGCAGGTCTTCGGGGGGCATGCCTTCGGGGAAGCGGAAGAATGTGCGGCAGCTGGCCTTCGATGCTGTGACGGACGTGATGAACACACATTCAACGGTCGTGGTGGATTCAGTGGATCGCGCTAGCAAGCGTCAATGCGAAGTGCTGCAACGATAATGTGACATCATGGAAAGGGAGGCGGCGACGCAGGAGAAACAATGTGAAGTGCTAGACGCCGATCAGCGCATGCTATGCGATGCTTTGCCGAAGATAGCTTCTGCGTTGTGTCGGACCTGATTGCGATTGACACGGTGGACTGTGGAAGGGACAGCGACCCAGCACAGGCCTTCCCAGATCACAACCACCGATCCACGTCCTTTCACCCCCCGAAAAAACTGCACTTCATCTTTCCTGTGCCCCACCGCCCCCTGAACCCCCCAACCCCCCCCTCCGCTCCCCCCATTTTTTTCACTAACCCTAAACTACCCTCGCCCAATCTACGTCGTTTTTCCAAGCCCGCCCCTTGTCTCTTTATCCAAAGTCATCTTGTCTGTGGTACGGCCGTGCACAGGGGTGGTCAGGCACCCGTGCTGTGAGGGGAGCACGGGCATTGACGGATCTGAACGACGAGTACCAACGGTTTTCGACTATAAGTCGATGATCCGCAGTGATCTGAACGACGTGACTCCCTAGATGAGTGCGGGTGAGAGGCGCTGCAGATTGTGCGTTGTGCGGAGCGCGGGCGGCGAGCGGGGGGTGGGACGGCCTCCTGTAGTGCGGTGTGTGGAGTGCGCGTCAAGCGCGCCAGTGGACAATTGCTGGCGGCGGTGGTTGTGGGCGTAGAATGGAGGTGGACGTGGTGTTGAGGGGGCGGGTTCTCGGTCGCTCCATCATCTTCTACGAGATGCGACACAGGCGTGGGAACGACTATGGCAGGGACTTCGGTTTCGAGAACGGGGGGACGAAACACGGAGTCCGCGGATGGAGACACGTGCCTCCATCTCACAGTCGGGTACGGATATGGCAAACGGCTCCTGCGGCAGGTTGTCATTTTCGTGCGGAAGGTGGGCACGACCATCCCCGATCGTTGGGTCAGAGGTTCGGACGTGTTGGCGGACATCATCGATCTCTTGGTGTCCAACGTGGCGATGGGGTTTGAAGGTCGTCTCCACGAACCGGCGATGTACGTCGTCCACGCCGAACCGCCTTTCGCCGATCACTCATATTTGCATGGCGAAGTGCGGATCATCGTCGACGACTTCCACTGAGCTCAGTGATGGCGACCGTGGCGTGATCCACGACAGATATTTCCGTGCAGCAGGCTCCAACCTTTTTTGACTCTCTAGTGCGGATCGACATGTCAGAGAGAGAGAGAGAGAGAGAGAGAGAGAGAGAGAGAGAGAGAGAG